AAAAACAAGAACCAGACCGGGGACTCAGACCGGGGACTCAGCCCGGGACGCCCTACTGGATCTGCGTCAGCTTCATGAAGTTCTCCACGTTCCTCCTGATCTGAAGGTTCTCCTCCACAGAGTACTTCCCCCAACGCAGCTTCAGACCTGAACGGAGACCACAGGGGACACACGTCAAACCTGGTTCAGTCCCGGTTTAGTCCCGGTTTAGTCCCTTTTTAGTTCTGGTTTAGTCCTGGTTTAGTCCCGGTTTAGTCCTGGTTTAGTCCTAGTTTAGTTCTGGTTTAGTTCCGGTTTAGTCCTGGTTTAGTCCCAGTTCAGTCCTGGTTTAGTCCTGGTTTAGTCCCAGTTTAGTTCTGGTTTAGTCCTGGTTTAGTCCCGGTTTAGTCCTGGTTTAGTTCTGGTTTAGTCCCGGTTTAGTTCTGGTTTAGTCCTAGTTTAGTCCCAGTTTAGTTCTGGTTTAGTTCTGGTTCAGTCCCGGTTTAGTTCTGGTTTAGTCCCGGTTTAGTTCTGGTTTAGTTCCGGTTTAGTCCTGGTTTAGTCTCGGTTTAGTCCTAGTTTAGTTCTGGTTTAGTTCCGGTTTAGTCCTGGTTTAGTCCCAGTTCAGTCCTGGTTTAGTTCTGGTTTAGTCCCGGTTTAGTTCTGGTTTAGTCCTAGTTTAGTCCCAGTTTAGTTCTGGTTTAGTTCTGGTTCAGTCCCGGTTTAGTTCTGGTTTAGTCCCGGTTTAGTCCCTTTTTAGTTCTGGTTTAGTTCCGGTTTAGTCCTGGTTTAGTCCTGGTTTAGTCCCGGTTTAGTCCCTTTTTAGTTCTGGTTTAGTCCTAGTTTAGTCCTGGTTTAGTTCTGGTTTAGTCCTGGTTTAGTCCTGGTTTAGTCCCGGTTTAGTCCTGGTTTAGTCCCTTTTTAGTTCTGGTTTAGTTCTGGTTCAGTCCCAGTTTAGTCCTAGTTTAGTCCCGGTTTAGTCCTGGTTTAGTCCCGGTTTAGTCCCTTTTTAGTTCTGGTTTAGTCCTAGTTTAGTCCTGGTTTAGTTCTGGTTTAGTCCTGGTTTAGTCCTGGTTTAGTCCTAGTTTAGTCCTGGTTTAGTCCTGGTTTAGTCCCTTTTTAGTTCTGGTTCAGTCCCGGTTTAGTCCTGGTTTAGTCCCTTTTTAGTTCTGGTTTAGTTCTGGTTCAGTCCTGGTTTAGTCCTGGTTTAGTCCCAGTTTAGTCCCAGTTTAGTTCTGGTTTAGTTCTGGTTCAGTCCCAGGTTAGTCCTAGTTTAGTCCCGGTTTAGTTCTGGTTTAGTTCTGGTTCAGTCCCGGTTTAGTTCTAGTTTAGTCCCGGTTTAGTCCCGGTTTAGTTTAGTTCTGGTTTAGTTCTGGTTTTAGTTCTGGTTTAGTGGTTTGGTCGGTTTAGTCCCGGTTTAGTTGGTTTAGTCCTGGTTTAGTCCTTTTTAGTCCCGGTTTAGTTCTGGTTTAGTTCTGGTTTAGGGTTTAGGTTCTGGTTTAGTCCTGGTTTAAGTCCTGGTTTAGGGTTTAGTCCTGGTTTAGTTCTGGTTTAGTTCTGGTTTAGTTCTGGTTTAGTTCTTTTAGGGTTTAGACTGGTTTAGTCCTGGTTAGTCCTGGTTTAGTTCCTGGTTTAGTTCTGGTTTAGTTCTGGTTTAGTTCTGGTTTGGTTCTGGTTTAGTCCCGGTTTAGTTCTGGTTTAGTCCCGGTTTAGTCCCTTTTTAGTCCGGTTTAGTTCTGGTTTAGTCTGGTTTAGTCTGGTTTGGTTTAGTTTAGTCCTGGTTTAGTTCTGGTTTAGTCCTGGTTTAGTCCTGGTTTAGTCCTGGTTTAGTCCTGGTTTAGTCCTGGTTTAGTCCTGGTTTAGTCCTGGTTTAGTCCTGGTTTAGTCCTGGTTTAGTCCTGGTTTAGTTCTGGTTTAGTCCTTTTTTAGTCCTGGTTTAGTTCTGGTTTAGTCCTGGTTTAGTGCTGGTTTAGTTCTGGTTTAGTCCTGGTTTAGTCCTGGTTTAGTCCTGGTTTAGTCCCGGTTTAGTCCTGGTTTAGTTCTGGTTTAGTCCTGGTTTAGTCCTGGTTTAGTCCTGGTTTAGTCCTGGTTTAGTTCTGGTTTAGTCCCGGTTTAGTCCCTTTTTAGTCCCGGTTTAGTTCTGGTTTAGTTCTGGTTTGGTTCTGGTTTAGTCCTGGTTAAGTCCTGGTTTAATCCTGGTTTAGTTCTGGTTTAGTTCTGGTTTGGTTCTGGTTTAGTCCTGGTTAAGTCCTGGTTTAATCCTGGTTTAGTTCTGGTTTAGTTCTGGTTTAGTTCTGGTTTGGTTCTGGTTTAGTCCTGGTTAAGTCCTGGTTTAATCCTGGTTTAGTTCTGGTTTAGTTCTGGTTTAGTTCTGGTTTGGTTCTGGTTTAGTCCCGGTTTAGTTCTGGTTTAGTCCTGGTTTAGTCCTGGTTTAGTCCTGGTTTAGTCCTGGTTTAGTTCTGGTTTTAGTCCCTGGTTTTAGTCCTGGTTTAGTTCTGGTTTTAGTCCTGGTTTAGTCCTGGTTTAGTCCTGGTTTAGTTCTGGTTTAGTCCTGGTTTAGTCCGGTTTAGTCCTGGTTTTAGTCCTGGTTTAGTCCTGGTTTAAGTCCTGGTTTAGTCCCGGTTTAGTCCTGGTTTAGTCCTGGTTTAGTCCTGGTTTTAGTCCTGGTTTAGTCAGTTCTGGTTTAGTCCTGGTTTAGTCCCTTTTTAGTCCCGGTTTAGTTCTGGTTTAGTTCTGGTTTGGTTCTGGTTTAGTTCTGGTTTAGTTCTGGTTTGGTTCTGGTTTAGTCCTGGTTAAGTCCTGGTTTAATCCTGGTTTAGTTCTGGTTTAGTCCTGGTTTAGTTCTGGTTTAGTTCTGGTTTAGTTCTGGTTTAGGTTCTGGTTTAGTCTGTTCTGGTTTAGTCCTGTTTTAGTCCTGGTTTAGTCCCTGGTTTAGTCCGGTTTAGTCCTGGTTTAGTCCTGGTTTAGTCCTGGTTTAGTTTAGTCCTGGTTTAGTCCTGGTTAGTTTGGTTTAGTCCTGGTTTATGGTTTAGTCCTGGTTTAGTCCTGGTTTAGTCCTGGTTTAGTCCTGGTTTAGTCCCGGTTTAGTCCTGTTTGGTTTAGGTCTGGTTTAGTCCTGGTTTAGTCCTGGCTTAGTTCTGGTTTAGTCCTGGTTTAGTCCTGGTTTAGTTCTGGTTTAGTTCTGGTTTGGTTCTGGTTTAGTCCTGGTTTAGTCCTGGTTTAGTCCTGGTTTAGTTCTGGTTTAGTTCTGGTTTAGTTCTGGTTTGGTTCTGGTTTAGTCCTGGTTTAGTTCTGGTTTAGTCCCGGTTTAGTCCCTTTTTAGTCCGGTTTAGTTCTGGTTTAGTTCTGGTTTAGTTCTGGTTTAGTCCTGGTTTAGTCCTGGTTTAGTCCTGGTTTAGTCCCGGTTTAGTCCTGGTTGTACCTTTCTTCTTAAACTCTCTGAATCGCGGGAGGTCGTATCTGATCATTTTCTGTTTCACTTCTGGAGATTTTCTGGAGATGTCGGGAATGAACTCCTCCAACTCCAGAACATCTGAGCTCGAGACCCTGAGGACCAGACCAAGACCGGGTCAGGACCAGACCAAGACCAGGACTGGGTCAGGACCAGACCAAGACCGGGTCAGGACCAGACCAAGACCAGGACTGGGTCAGGACCAGACCAAGACCAGGACTGGGTCAGGACCAGACCAAGACCGGGTTAGGACCAGACCAAGACCAGGACTGGGTCAGGACCAGACCAAGACCGGGTCAGGACCAGACCAAGACCGGGTCAGGACCAGACCAGGACTGGGTCAGGACCAGACCAGTGAGGAGTACACAGAGGGCAGTAAACAAAATATCCCCGTGACCCGTGACCCGGTCCAGAGGAGGATCGTAACTGGTTTTGGACTTACTGTATTTCCTGCTCTGTGTCGTTCATGTCGTCCACTTCCTGTTGCAGAAAAATACACAAATAATAAAAACAAATAAAACAATAAAAACAACAAGTTTATAAGGTCTCTCTCTCTCTCTCTCTCTCTCTCTCTCTCTCTCTCTCTCTCTCTCTTTCTCTCTCTTCTCTCTCTCTCTCTCTTTCTCTCTCTCTCTCTCACTCACTCACACTTTCTCTAGGCCGCGCTCTGTTTCTCCGTGGAGTTTCCTTGTTTCGTTTCCTTCCCTCCTTCCTCCTCGTCTTGTTTCCTTGTGTCGTTTCCTCCGGCTGCGTCCCATTCTCTCTCCTCCTCTTTTTCTTTTTCCTCATCTCCTCATCTCCTTGGTCCCTCCCTTCGTCTCCTTGCTTCCTCTCCCCGTTTCCTTCTGCGACAAGAAAAAGAGTCAAACTTTTACTTTTAATCACTGTGTCTCCCCACGCTGAGTCACTCCCCCTTCAGAGCTACAACACCACACTCAGATCTCTAGATGAGTCAAACACGGAGGACTCTAGAAGTTCACCTCCGCTGGTCTCCTCGACCTCCGTCTGTGCTGCGCTCATTCGCTTCTTCCTCTTCTTTTTCACGTCCTTACTTCCTTGGCTCGTTTCCTCGTCTCCTTGGCTCGTTTCCTCGTCTCCTTGGCTCGTTTCCTCGTCTCCTTGGCTCGTTTCCTCGTCTCCTCGGCTCGTTTCCTCATCTCCTCGTCTCCTTTCCTCGTCTCTTTTTTCACTCTTTTTTTTCTTTTTCTTATGTTTGGTGAAAGGGGAGGAGTCTGAGGGCTCCAGGGGCGGGGCCATGACACCTGAAAAAACAGGTGAGATGTAAAGACACGCCCACAACGCTAACAACAAATGTACCGATACTCCGACGACGACAAAAGTACCGATACTCCAATAACGACAAAAGTACCGATACTCCGACAGTAACAATCAGAGCTCAGTATCAACTCTAGACTCATTTGAACTCTAAAACAAACCTAGAGATTAAACCAGGACTAAACCAGGACTAAACCAGGTCTAAACCAGGTCTAAACCAGGACTAAACCAGGTCTAAACCAGGACTAAACCAGGTCTAAAACCAGGACTAAACCAGGTCTAAACCAGGACTAAACCAGGTCTAAACCAGGTCTAAACCAGGACTAAACCAGGTCTAAACCAGGACTAAACCAGGTCTAAACCAGGTCTAAACCAGGTCTAAACCAGGACTAAACCAGGTCTAAACCAGGACTAAACCAGGTCTAAACCAGGACTAAACCAGGACTAAACCAGGTCTAAACCAGGTCTAAACCAGGTCTAAAACCAGGACTAAACCAGGTCTAAACCAGGACTAAACCAGGTCTAAACCAGGACTAAACCAGGTCTAAACCAGGACTAAACCAGGTCTAAACCAGGACTAAACCAGGTCTAAACCAGGACTAAACCAGGACTAAACCAGGACTAAACCAGGTCTAAACCAGGACTAAACCAGGACTAAACCAGGTCTAAACCAGGTCTAAACCAGGTCTAAACCAGGACTAAACCAGGTCTAAACCAGGTCTAAACCAGTCTAAAACCAGGTCTAAACCAGGTCTAAACCAGGTCTAAACCAGGTCTAAACCAGGACTAAACCAGGTCTAAACCAGGACTAAACCAGGTCTAAACCAGGACTAAACCAGGACTAAACCAGGACTAAACCTGGACTGGGACACACACGCGCTCACCTCAAAACAAACCGAGACACGCGGGGGGGGTCAGCCACGTGATCCAGACCCGGTACAGACCCAGACCCGGTACAAACCGTGAACGTCTCGCGCTCCGTCGCTCTCGTCCCGAGGATAAAAAGTTCCGTATCAAAGTTGTTGTGTTTTTTTTGGTTTTTTTTACTCAAACTCGCGGAGACACGAAGCACGCGGACTCCAGAAAAACTACAACCCCTGTACTTCCGGAATTCACATGTTTACATCCGGTCAAGTGCTGCGCATGCGCCGGTTGAGAGCAGGCTCAGTGCTGCCCCGGGGCGGTCGCCGCGCGTCACTGCAGCTGCAGATTTACATTTACAAAAGTGTTTAACGCGTTTAAAGTCCTTCAAACGAGAATCTTTTATCTCCTCTTTTTCTTTCCTCTTTTTCTTTCACACATTTAATAATTTAAAACAAACACAAAATACAAAAGAATTTACACAAAACATGAGTTTTAAATGAAGTTTAATGAGCCTCAGATTTTTACAACATTAGAATTATAATCAGAGAACTAAACCAGGTCAAAACCAGGACTAAACCAGGTCAAAACCAGGACTAAACCAGGTCTAAACCAGGTCAAAACCAGAACTAAACCCGGTCTAAACCAGGTCAAAACCAGGACTAAACCAGGTCTAAACCAGGTCAAAACCAGGACTAAACCAGGTCAAAACCAGGACTAAACCAGGTCAAAACCAGGACTAAACCAGGTCAAAACCAGGACTAAACCAGGTCAAAACCAGGACTAAACCAGGTCAAAACCAGGTCAAAACCAGGTCTAAACCAGGTCAAAACCAGGACTAAACCAGGTCAAAACCAGGACTAAACCAGGTCAAAACCAGGACTAAACCAGGTCAAAACCAGGACTAAACCAGGTCAAAACCAGGACTAAACCAGGTCTAAACCAGGTCAAAACCAGGACTAAACCAGGTCAAAACCAGGACTAAACCAGGTCTAAACCAGGTAAAAACCAGGTCTAAACCAGGTCTAAACCAGGTCAAAACCAGGTCTAAACCAGGTAAAAACCAGGTCTAAACCAGGTCTAAACCAGGTCAAAACCAGGTCTAAACCAGGTCAAAACCAGGACTAAACCAGGTCAAAACCAGGTCTAAACCAGGTCTAAACCAGGTCTAAACCAGGTCAAAACCAGGTCAAAACCAGGTCTAAAACCAGGTCAAAACCAGGTCAAAACCAGGACTAAACCAGGTCTAAACCAGGTCTACACCAGGACTGAACCAGGACTAAACCAGGACTAAACCAGGACTGAACCAGGACTAAACCAGGACTGAACCAGGACTAAACCAGGACTAAACCAGGACTGAACCAGGTCAAAACCAGGTCTAAACCAGGTCTAAACCAGGTCAAAACCAAGTCTAAACCAGGTCTAAACCAGGTCTAAACCAGGTCAAAACCAGGTCTAAACCAGGTCTAAACCAGGACTGAACCAGGACTAAACCAGGACTAAACCAGGACTGAACCAGGTCAAAACCAGGTCTAAACCAGGTCAAAACCAAGTCTAAACCAGGTCTAAACCAGGTCTAAACCAGGTCTAAACCAGGTCAAAACCAGGTCTAAACCAGGTCAAAACCAGGACTAAACCAGGACTAAACCAGGACTAAAAAAGGACTGAACCAGGACTAAACCAGGTCTAAACCAGGACTGAACCAGGACTAAACCAGGTCAAAACCAGGTCAAAACCAGGACTGAACCAGGACTAAACCAGGACTAAACCAGGACTAAAAAAGGACTGAACCAGGACTAAACCAGGTCAAAACCAGGACTAAACCAGGACTAAACCAGGTCTAAACCCGGACTAAGTGTGGTCTTGGCAGAAGAGGACTCTCTGTTCGTTGATTCTCTTGGACTGGACTCTGTGGATCAGACTCAACAGTGTCTCCTGCTGCGGGTCCAACGTGGTCTCCTCTGGACCGCAGTCAGACCCGGGTCCTGGCCTCGGGTCTGGTCTCTGGTCTGGTCTCTGGTCTAGTCCTGGTCCTGGTTCTGGTCTTGGTCTCACTTCAGGGTCTTGGAGCAGACTGACCGGAGCTCTCTGATTCTCCAGACGTTGACTCTGACTCCTCAAAACCAGGTCCATGAGACACTCCTCCTCCTGAGAGAGAGAACGAGGGAACGAGGGAACGAGGGAACGAGGGAACGAGGGAACGAGGGAATCGAGGGAACGAGGGAACGAGAGAAGGAGAGAAGGAGAGAGGAAAGAAAGGAAAGAAAGAGAGAGGGTAGTAAGACTGTTGGCTTCATCACACGACCAGGACTAAACCAGGACTAAACCAGGACTAAACCAGGACTAAACCAGGTCTAAACCAGGACTAAACCAGGTCTAAACCAGGACTAAACCAGGACTAAACCAGGACTAAACCAGGTCTAAACCAGGACTAAACCAGGTCTAAACCAGGACTAAACCAGGACTAAACCAGGTCTAAACCAGGACTAAACCAGGTCTAAACCAGGACTAAACCAGGACTAAACCAGGTCTTTATAATCCTCCCTGGGTCCAAACAGGCGACTAATGGACCAGACTCATCCTTCCCCAGTTCCCAAACTCCACACAGACACAGATGAACATGCAAACTCCACCAAGGACCTTCTTGCTGTGAGGTAAGAGGGCAGGTCCAGACCAGGTCCAGACCAGGTCCAGACCAGGTCCAGATCTTACCTTCCTTCGGGTCCTGTTGCTCAGACTCAGACCTCGCAGTCTAAAGGGGCTGCGGCAGGGGGCGGGGCTGCGGCAGGGGGCGGGGCTGCGGCAGGGGGCGGGGTGATGGTCAGGTGATCGGAGGCTGAGCTTGTGATTGGACACTGACATGGCTCCACGCTGAAACACAAACACATGAGCTGTGAGCCACAGTCGCCCCGGGGCAGCCTGACCTCTGACCCTGACTCTCCGACGCCTGATCCTCTGGCCCCTGAACCCCCAACCCTGACCTCTGACCCTCTGACCCTAATCCTCTGACCCTCTGACCCTGACCTCCGACCCTCTGACCCTGACCTCTGACCCTCTGACCCTGACCTCCGACCCTCCGACCCTCTGACCCTCTGACCCCTGACCCTCTGACCGTGACTTGACTGTCACTCAGACTCTTTCACTCACAGGAGTCGTGGTCCGTGTTGGTCGATAAGTTCAGAACCAGTCGCTCTGTGGTGACAGAATCATGACATCATCATAACAATTATATTTTTATAACATGAAAACAGTTTTAACATAATAAATATCAAATCAATTACCCAGAAGTGACACTCACCAGGAGCAGCAGAGGCCGAGGGAGGGAACACCTAAAGTAGGTCACCCCGAGGAGACGAGGAGACGAGGACACAGCCAAGGAGATGAGGAGCTAAGGGACAGTCAAGGATCCTAAGACTGACCAGGTGAAGGAGGTTTGGTTTTCTCCTCGTCTGTTGCTCGTCTGTTGCTCGTCTGTTCCTCTTTGTAGGTTGAAATATAAAGGTCCAATCTGAGTAAAACAAGTCCGGACTAAACTCGGACCTCTTTGCACTGCAGACTCTAGGACTAAGCCAGAACTAAACCAGGACTGAACCAGGACTCCCCCTTTTGGAGCCGTTGCCGTGGAAACACATTCTTTTATTCAGCTCCATTCAGTTGTGTTCAGACCTCTGCGGGCCCCAACCCCCCCCCCCCCCCATCCCTTTACTAAACAAAACCGCTCTATTCCACAGCGGCAGAGTGGTTAGCCTCCCGTCTCTTTAAACTCGTCTTCAGACGGGATCAGGGTTTGGACCGACCACTTTTCACAATTTTATATTTTAAATTGAATTAAATTAAATATTACACCTGAAAAAGTTTTTGCCAAACTCACAGGGGTGACCGCAGAGTGTGACAGGGGTGACCGCAGAGTGTGACAGGGGTGACCGCAGAGTGTGACAGACCTGACCACAGAGTGTGACAGGGGTGACCGCAGAGTGTGACAGACCTGACCGCAGAGTGTGACAGGGGTGACCGCAGAGTGTGACAGACCTGACCGCAGAGTGTGACAGGGGTGACCGCAGAGTGTGACAGGGGTGAGCCGCAGAGTGTGACAGACCTGACCGCAGAGTGTGACAGGGGTGACCGCAGAGTGTGACAGGGGTGACCGCAGAGTGTGACAGGGGTGACCGCAGAGTGTGACAGGGGTGACCACAGAGTGTGACAGGGGTGACCGCAGAGTGTGACAGACCTGACCGCAGAGTGTGACAGACCTGACCACAGAGTGTGACAGAGGTGACCGCAGAGTGTGACAGACCTGACCACAGAGTGTGACAGGGGTGACCGCAGAGTGTGACAGAGGTGACCGCAGAGTGTGACAGACCTGACCGCAGAGTGACCCGCAGAGTGTGACAGACCTGACCGCAGAGTGTGACAGGGGTGACCGCAGAGTGTGACAGGGGTGACCGCAGAGTGTGACAGGGGTGACCGCAGAGTGTGACAGACCTGACCGCAGAGTGTGACAGACCTGACCGCAGAGTGTGACAGGGGTGACCGCAGAGTGTGACAGGGGTGACCGCAGAGTGTGACAGAGGTGACCGCAGAGTGTGACAGGGGTGACCGCAGAGTGTGACAGACCTGACCGCAGAGTGTGACAGAGGTGACCGCAGAGTGTGACAGGGGTGACCGCAGAGTGTGACAGAGGTGACCGCAGAGTGTGACAGACCTGACCGCAGTGTGACAGGGGTGACCGCAGAGTGTGACAGGGGTGACAGGGGTGACGCAGACAGAGTGTGACAGGGTGACCGCAGAGTGTGACAGGGGTGACCGCAGAGTGTGACAGGGTGACCGCAGAGTGTGACAGACCTGACCGCAGTGTGACAGAGGTGACCGCAGAGTGTGACAGAGGTGACCGCAGAGTGTGACAGGGGTGACCGCAGAGTGTGACAGGGGTGACCGCAGAGTGTGACAGACCTGACCGCAGTGTGACAGAGGTGACCGCAGAGTGTGACAGACCTGACCGCAGTGTGACAGAGGTGACCGCAGAGTGTGACAGGGGTGACCGCAGAGTGTGACAGACCTGACCGCAGAGTGTGACAGGGGTGACCACAGAATGTGACAGACCTGACCGCAGAGTGTGACAGAGGTGACCGCAGAGTGTGACAGGGGTGACCGCAGAGTGTGACAGGGGTGACCGCAGAGTGTGACAGAGGTGACCACAGAGTGTGACAGACCTGACCGCAGAGTGTGACAGAGGTGACCACAGAGTGTGACAGACCTGACCGCAGAGTGTGACAGAGGTGACCACAGAGTGTGACAGACCTGACCGCAGAGTGTGACAGAGGTGACCACAGAGTGTGACAGGGGTGACCACAGAGTGTGACAGAGGTGAACACAGAGTGTGATAGGGGTGACCACAGAGTGTGACAGGGGTGACCGCAGAGTGTGACAGGGGTGACCACAGAGTGTGACAGAGATGAACACAGAGTGTGACAGGGGTGACCGCAGAGTGTGACAGGGGTGACCGCAGAGTGTGACAGGGGTGACCGCAGAGTGTGACAGGGGTGACCGCAGCCACAGGAGGTGGATGAGGGAACAGGCAGAACAAGCAACAGTCCAGTTCATAAAGGAGCAGCAGCATCTGATCCTGGACACGTCCCACAGGAGGAACCAGGGCAGGACCAGGACCCTGAGGGACGGTCTGTATGTGTCAGATGCCCTCCCTGTGGAGGGACGGTCTGTGTGTGTCAGATGCCCTCCCTGTGGAGGGACGGTCTGTGTGTGTCAGATGCCCTCCCTGTGGAGGGACGGTCTGTGTGTGTCAGATGCCCTCCCTGTGGAGGGACGGTCTGTGTGTGTAGAGGAGCCACAAACAAATGTGTTTTTTTTTTACATAATTTTATTCACATTAAACGTCTGAGATCAATGATACTGTCGTCTCTTATCCATGGTTACAGAAGCTTATCAATAAATAATCAATAAATATTAAACAGTAGAAGACGGATCCTACGAACACAACAGAACGCAATTTACACATTTACAAGTCCCTGGTTCAGTCCTCGTTTAATCCAGGTCTAGTCCTGGTTTAGTCCTGATACAGTTTCGGTTTAGTCCCAGTTTAGTCCTGGTTCAGTCCTGGTTTAGGCCTAGTTCAGCTTTTTTTAGTTCTAGTTTAGTCCTGGTTAAGTCTTGATTTGGTCCTGGTTTAGTCCCGTTTCAGTCCTGGTTTGTCTTAGTTTAGTCCTGGTTTAGTCCCGGGTTGGTCCGGAACTCTCCGTTCTCAGTGATCTGGAGGGAGGAGGTGTTGCTTGGCGACAGTCCGTTGCGTGATGTCACAGCGTATCGCTCCTTCAGCTGCGTCAGCGCCGCCATCAGGCGAGTGTTCGCCGCATCCAGACTCAAGATGCGCTTCTCCTGAGAGCAAAAGTACAACGGGTTAATCCTGGTTTAGTCCTGGTTCAGTCCTGGTTTAGTCCTGGTTCAGTCCTGGTTCAGTCCTGGTTCAGTCCTGGTTTAGTCCTGGTTCAGTCCTGGTTCAGTCCTGGTTCAGTCCTGGTTCAGTCCTGGTTTCGTCCTGGTTTCGTCCTGGTTTAGTTCTGGTTTAGTCCTGGTTTAGTCCTGGTTTAGTCCTGGTTCAGTCCTGGTTCAGTCCTGGTTCAGTCCTGGTTCAGTCCTGGTTTAGTCCTGGTTCAGTCCTGGTTTCGTCCTGGTTTCGTCCTGGTTTAGACCTGGTTTAGTCCTGGTTTAGTCCTGGTTTAGTCCTGGTGTAGACCTGGTTTAGTCCTGGTTCAGTCCTGGTTCAGTCCTGGTTTAGTCCTGGTTTAGTCCTGGTTTAGTCCTGGTTTAGTCCTGGTTTAGTCCTGGTTTAGTCCTGGTTTAGTCCTGGTTTAGTCCTGGTTCAGTCCTGGTTTAGTCCTGGTTCCTGGTTTCGTCCTGGTTTAGACCTGGTTTAGTCCTGGTTTAGTCCTGGTTTCAGTCCTGGTTTAGTCCTGGTTTAGTCCTGGTTTAGTCCTGGTTTAGTCCTGGTTTAGTCCTGGTTTAGTCCTGGTTTAGTCCTGGTTCAGTCCTGGTTTAGTAGTCCTGGTTTAGTCCTGGTTTAGTCCTGGTTTAGTCCTGGTTTAGTCCTGGTTTAGTCCTGGTTTAGTCCTGGTTTAGTCCTGGTTTAGTCCTGGTTTAGTCCTGGTTTAGTCCTGGTTTAGTCCTGGTTCTGGTTTAGTCCTGGTTTAGTCCTGGTTTGTCCTGGTTTAGTCCTGGTTTAGTCCTGGTTCAGTCCTGGTTTAGGTTTAAGTCCTGGTTTAGTCCTGGTTTAGTCCGTTTAGTCCTGGTTTAGACCTGGTTTAGTCCTGGTTTAGTCCTGGTTTTAGTCCTGGTTCAGTCCTGGTTTAGTCCTGGTTCAGTCCTGGTTTAGTCCTGGTTTAGTCCTGGTTCAGTCCTGGTTTAGTCCTGGTTTAGTCCTGGTTTAGTCCTGGTTCAGTCCTGGTTTTGTCCTGGTTCAGTCCTGGTTTAGACCTGGTTTCAGTCCTGGTTTAGTCCTGGTTTAGTCCTGGTTTAGTCCTGGTTTAGTCCTGGTTTAGTCCTGGTTTAGTCCTGGTTTAGTCCTGTTTACCTGAGCCTCTATGATCTTCTGTTTGGAGTCCACCACCGCCTGCATGTCAGAATGATCCTTCTTCAGCTCCTCCTCCACAGCCATGAGCCTGAACCACAAGCACAGGGTCAAACTCAACCTCAGGGTCAGGGTCAGAGGTCAGGGTCCGGAGGGTCAGGGGTCCGGAGGGTCGGTGGTTGGGGGTCATGAGTTAGGTTCAGGGATCAGGGTCAGAGGTCAAGGGTCAGGGGTCAGACCAAGCCCCCAGGTTCCAAAATGGCCGCCCATTCAAGTCAATGGGCTGAGCTCAATGTCACATGATCCCAGATTAGCCTTTAGCCCGGCGAGGTTCTTCCGGCGGCTGTGGGCGACCGAGCATGTGCAGTAGAGTCTTTCCTCCCACGGGCAACACGCGACCGCACGCGACCGCACGCGACCGCACGCGACCGCACGCGACCGCACGCGACCGCACGCGACCGCACGCACGGAGCGCGGGCTCGTGTATCACGTGATCACTTTGACCAATCAGAGCGAGAGAAACGAGAGCGGAGCAGAGCTAACGAATGTAAAGCGTTTTTTTTAAGACGACTGAAGGATTTTGAGCGAGAAAAAGTTTATGATCTAAAAAGAGGTAAAAATCGCCACAAAATCCGACATTTTTGAAAGTTGTAGGTCCTGTCAGACGAACACGAGCAGGTTGTGTCACACTGACTCCAGGAGAAAAATCTTGTCTTGGCCCATGGGATTTTTTCGACTGTAGAATCACTGAGACACAACGACAACTGGAGGCAGAAACAAGCAGCAACACTGTATCCAGTTATTTTAATAGATCCATGGGTCAGGAGTCAGGGGTCAGGGGTCAGGGGTCAGGGTCAGGGGTCAGGGGTCATCAGGGGTCAGGGGTCAGGAGTCAGGGGTCAGGAGTCAGGGGTCAGGGTCAGGGGTCAGGAGTCAGGGGTCAGGGTCAGGGGTCAGGGGTCAGGGTCAGGGGTCAGGAGTCAGGGGTCAGGGGTCAGGGTAGTCAGGGGTCAGGGGTCAGGGGTCAGGGGTCAGGAGTCAGGGGTCAGGATCAGGGGTCAGGTCAGGGGTCAGGGTCAGGGGTCAGGGGTCAGGGGTCAGGAGTCAGGGGTCAGGAGTCAGGGGTCAGGAGTCAGGGGTCAGGGGTCAGGGTCAGGGTCAGGGGTCAGGAGTCAGGGGTCAGGGGTCAGGGGTCAGGGGTCAGGGGTGTTACCGGGTGATGATGCTGTTCATCTGTAGATCTTTATCGTCCTGAAGCCTCCGCAGACGAGACTCCGTGTCCTCCAGACGAACCTGACACACAAACAGGGACAACATGACAGGGACGCACCTGAACAGTGAGGGTCAGAGGTCAAAGGGTCAGGGTCAGAGGGTCAGAGGTCAGAGTAGAGCAGTCAGATCCACAGGTTGGTGGTTTGGATGTTGTCCTTGTGCCCTTGAGCAGGACACTCGGGGGTTGTACCTGGTATTCCTGCAGCATACGCTGGTTCTGTTGATCTTGAACCATCAGCCGAGCTTCACACTCCTCCTGACGAAGACCAGCCACCCTCAACTTCTCCTGAAGGACAGAGATCTCCTGCTGGTACTGAGGAAGAGGAGGAGAAACACGTGAGGAAGAGGAGGAGAAACACGTGAGGAAAGAGGAGGAGAAACACGTGAGGAAAAGAGGAGGAGAAACACGTGAGGAAAGAGGAGGAGAAACAGGTGAGGAAAGAGGAGGAGGAGAACACGTGAGAAAAGAGGAGGAGAAACATGTGAGAAAGAGGAGGAGAGAGAAACAGTGAGAAAAGAGGAGGAGAGAAACACGTGAGGAAAGAGGAGGAGAGAAACACGTGAGAAAGAGGAGGAGGAGAAACACGTGAGAAAGAGAGGAGGAGAAACAGGTGAGAAAAGAGAGGAGGAGAAACAAGGTGAGAAAAGAGGAGGAGAAACACGTGAGAAAAGAGGAGGAGAAACACGTGAGAAAAGAGGAGGAGAAACACGTGAGGAAAGGAGGAAAACACGTGAGAAAGAGGAGGAGAAAACGTGAGGAAAGAGGAGGAGAAACACGTGAGAAAAGAGGAGAGAAAACACGTGAGAAAGAGGAGGAGGAGAAACAGTGAGAAAAGAGGAGGAGAGAAACACGTGAGAAAGAGGAGGAGAAACACGTGAGAAAAGAGGAGGAGAAACACGTGAGAAAAGAGGAGGAGAAACACGTGAGAAAAGAGGAGGAGAAACACGTGAGAAAGAGGAGGAGAAAAACACGTGAGGAAGAGGAGGAGAAACACGTGAGAAAAGAGAGGAGAAACAGAGAAAAGAGGAGGAGAACACGTGAGGAAAGAGAGGAGGAGAAACACGTGAGAAAGAGGAGAGAACACGTGAGAAAAGAGGAGGAGGAGGAAACACGTGAGGAAAGAGGAGGAGAAACACGTGAGGAAAGAGAGGAGGAGGAAAACACGTGAGAAAAGAGAGGAGGAGAAACAGTGAGAAAAGAGGGAGGGAGAGAAACACGTGAGAAAAGAGGAGGAGGAAACACGTGAGAAAAGAGGAGGAGAAACACGTGAGGAAAAGAGAGGAGAAACACGTGAGAAAAGAGGAGGAGAAACACGTGAGAAAAGAGAAGAGAAAAGTGAGAAAGAGGAGGAGAGAAACACGTGAGGAAAGAGGAGGAGAAACACGTGAGAAAGAGGAGGAGAAACACGTGAGAAAAGAGGAGGAGAAACACGTGAGAAAAGAGGAGGAGAAACACGTGAGAAAAGAGGAGGAGGAGAAACACGTGAGAAAGAGGAGGAGAAAACACGTGAGGAAAAGAGGAGGAGAAAAACACGTGAGAAAAAGAGAGGAGAAACACGTGAGGAAAGAGGAGGAAACACGTGAGAAAAGAGGAGGAGAAACACGTGAGAAAAGAGGAGGAGAAACACGTGAGGAAAGAGGAGGAGAAACACGTGAGAAAAGAGGAGGAGAAAAACACGTGAGAAAGAGGAGGAGAGTGAGAAACACGTGAGAAAAGAGGAGGAGAAACACGTGAGAAAAGAGAGGAGAAAGAGAAAACACGTGAGAAAAGAGGAGGAGAAAAAACACGTGAGGAAAGAGGAGGAGAAACACGTGAGAAAAGAGGAGGAGAAACACGTGAGAAAAGAGGAGGAGAGAAACACGTGAGAAAGAGGAGGAAAACACGTGAGAAAAGAGGAGGAGAAAACACGTGAGGAAAGAGGAGGAGGAGAAACACGTGAGGAAAAGAGGAGGAGGAAACACGTGAGAAAGAGGAGGAGAAACACGTGAGAAAGAGGAGGAGAACACGTGAGAAAAGAGGAGGAGAGGAGAACACGTGAGAAAGAGGAGGAGAAACACGTGAGGAAAGAGGAGGAGAAACACGTGAGAAAGAGGAGGAGAAACACGTGAGAAAAGAGGAGGAGGAGAAACACGTGAGAAAAGAGGAGGAGAAACACGTGAGAAAAGAGGAGGAGAAACACGTGAGGAAAGAGGAGGAGAGAAACACGTGAGGAAAGAGGAGGAGGAGAAACACGTGAGGAAAGAGGAGAAACACGTGAGAAAAAGAGGAGAGAAAAACACGTGAGAAAAGAGAGAGGAGAAACACGTGAGAAAGAGGAGGAGAAACACGTGTGAGAAAGAGGAGGAGAAACAGGTGAGAAAAGAGGAGGAGGAGAAACACGTGAGAAAGAGGAGGAGAGAAACACGTGAGAAAAGAGGAGGAGAAACATGTGAGAAAAGAGGAGGAGAAACAGGTGAGAAAAGAGGAGGAGGAGAAACACGTGAGGAAAGAGGAGGAGAAACACGTGAGAAAAGAGGAGGAGAAACACGTGAGGAAAGAGGAGGAGAAACACGTGAGAAAAGAGGAGGAGAAACACGTGAGAAAAGAGGAGGAGAAACACGTGAGGAAAGAGGAGGAGAAACACGTGAGAAAAGAGGAGGAGAAACACGTGAGAAAAGAGGAGGAGAGAAACACGTGAGAAAAGAGGAGGAGAAACACGTGAGAAAAGAGGAGGAGAAACACGTGTGAGAAAAAGAGGAGGAGAAACAGTGAGAAAAGAGGAGAGGAGAAACACGTGAGAAAAGAGGAGGAGAAACACGTGAGAAAAGAGGAGGAGAAACACGTGAGAAAAGAGGAGGAGAAACACGTGAGAAAGAGGAGGAGAAAACACGTGAGAAAAGAGGAGGAGAAACACGTGAGAAAGAGGAGGAGAAAACACGTGAGAAAAGAGGAGGAGAAACACGTGAGAAAGAGGAGGAGAACACGTGAGAAAAGAGGAGGAGAAAACACGTGAGAAAGAGGAGGAGAAACACGTGAGGAAAGAGGAGGAGAAACACGTGAGAAAAGAGGAGGAGAAACACGTGAGAAAAGAGGAGGAGAAACACGTGAGAAAAGAGGAGGAGAAACACGTGAGAAAAGAGAACACGTGAGGAAAAGGAGGAAAACACGTGAGAAAAGAGGAGGAGAAACACGTGAGAAAAAGAGGAGGAGAAACACGTGAGGAAAGAGGAGGAGAAACACGTGAGAAAAGAGGAGGAGAAACACGTGAGGAAAGAGGAGGAGAAACAGTGAAAAGAGGAGGAGAGAGAGGAGAGGAGAAAACACGTGTGAGAAAAGAGGAGGAGGAGAAACACGTGAGAAAAGAGGAGGAGGAGAAACACGTGAGGAAAAGAGGAGGAGAAACACAGTGAGAAAAGAGGAGGAGGAGAAACACGTGAGAAAAGAGGAGGAGAAACACGTGAGAAAAGAGGAGGAGAAACACGTGAGGAAAGAGGAGGAGGAGAAACACGTGAGAAAAGAGGAGGAGAAACACGTGAGAAAAGAGGAGGAGGAGAAACACGTGAGAAAAGAAGGAGGAGAAACATGTGAGAAAAGAGGAGGAGAAACACGTGAGAAAAGAGGAGGAGAAAACAGTGAGAAAAGAGGAGGAGAAACATGTGAGAAAAGAGGAGGAGAAACACGTGAGAAAAGAGGAGGAGGAGAAACACGTGAGAAAAGAGGAGGAGGAGAAACACGTGAGAAAAGAGGAGGAGAAACACGTGAGAAAAGAAGAGGAGGAGAAACACGTGAGAAAAGAGGAGGAGAAACACGTGAGAAAAAGGAGGAAACACGTGAGAAAAAGAGGAGGAGGAGAAACACGTGAGAAAAGAGGAGGAGGAGAAACACGTGAGAAAAGAGGGAGGAGAAACACGTGAGGAAGAGGAGGAGGAGAAACACGTGAGAAAAGAGGAGAAACATGTGAGAAAAGAGGAGGAGAAACACGTGAGGAAAAGAGAGGAGAAAACACATGAGAAAAGAGGAGGAGGAGAAAAACACGTGAGGAAAGAGGAGGAGAAACACGTGAGGAAAGAGAGAGAGAACACGTGAGAAGAAGAGGAGGAGAAAACGTGAGGAAAAGAGGAGGAGAAACACGTGAGAAAAGAGGAGGAGAAACACGTGAGGAAAGAGGAGGAGGAGAAACACGTGAGGAAAGAGGAGGAGAAACACGTGAGAAAGAGGAGGAGAAACACGTGAGAAAAGAGGAGGAGGAGAAACACGTGAGAAAAGGAGAGAGAAACACGTGAGAAAAGAGGAGGAGAAACACGTGAGAAAAGAGGAGGAGAAACACGTGAGAAAAGAGGAGGAGAAACACGTGAGAAAAAAGAGGAGGAGAAACACGTGAGGAAAGAGGAGGAGGAGAAACACGTGAGGAAAAGAGGAGGAGGAGAAACACGTGAGAAAAGAGGAGAGAAACACGTGAGAAAAGCACGTGAGGAGAGAAACACGTGAGAAAAGAGGAGGAGGAGAAACACGTGAGAAAAGAGGAGGAGAGAGAGGAACACGTGAGGAAAGAGGAGGAGAAACACGTGAGAAAAGAGGAGGAGAAACACGTGAGGAAGAGGAGGAGAAAAACGTGAGAAAAGAGGAGAGGAGAAACACGTGAGAAAAGAGGAGGAGAAAACACGTGAGGAAAAGAGGAGAGGAGAAACACGTGAGGAAAGAGGAGGAGAAACACGTGAGAAAAAGAGGAGAAACACGTGAGGAAAGCAGAGAAAAGGAGAAACACGTGAGAAAAGAGGAGGAGAAACATGTGAGAAAAGAGGAGGAGAAACAGGTGAGAAAAGAGGAGGAGGAGAAACACGTGAGAAAAGAGGAGGAGAAACACGTGAGGAAAAGAGGAGGAGAAACACGTGAGAAAAGAGGAGGAGGAGAAACACGTGAGGAAAGAGGAGGAGAAACACGTGAGAAAAGAGGAGGAGAAACACGTGAGGAAAGAGGAGGAGGAAAACACGTGAGAAAAGAGGAGGAGAAACACGTGAGAAAAGAGGAGGAGAAACACGTGAGAAAAGAGGAGGAGAGAAACACGTGAGGAAAGAGGAGGAGAAACACGTGAGAGGAGAGAAACACGAGGAGGAGGAAACACGTGAGAAAAGAGGAGGAGAAACACGTGAGAAAAGAGGAGGAGAAACACGTGAGAAAAGAGGAGGAGAAACATGTGAGAAAAGAGGAGGAGAAACACGTGAGGAAAGAGGAGGAGGAGAAACACGTGAGAAAAGAGGAGGAGAAACACGTGAGGAAAAGAGGAGGAGAAAACACGTGAGAAAAGAGGAGGAGAGAGGAGAAACACGTGAGGAAAGAGGAGGAGGAGAAACACGTGAGAAAAGAGGAGGAGAAACACGTGAGAAAGAGGAGGAGGAGAAACACGTGAGGAAAGAGGAGGAGAAACACGTGAGAAAAGAGGAGGAGAAACAGGTGAGAAAAGAGGAGGAGGAGAAACGTGAGAAAGAGAGGAGGAGAAACACGTGAGAAAAGAGGGAGGAGAAACACGTGAGGAAAAGAGGAGGAGAAACACGTGAGAAAAGAGGAGGAGAGAGAAACACGTGAGAAAAGAGGAGGAGAAAACACGTGAGAAAAGAGAGAGAGAGAGAAACACGTGAGGAAAGAGGAGGAGAAACACGTGAGAAAAGAGGAGGAGAAACACGTGAGAAAGAGGAGGAGAAACACGTGAGAAAGAGGAGGAGGAGAAACACGTGAGAAAAGAGGAGGAGAAAACACGTGAGAAAAGAGGAGGAGAAACACGTGAGAAAAGAGGAGGAGAAACACGTGAGAAAGAGGAGGAGAAACACGTGAGGAAAGAGGAGGAGAAACACGTGAGGAAAGAGGAGGAGAAACACGTGAGAAAGAGAGGAGAAAACACGTGAGAAAAGAGGAGGAAAAACACGTGAGAGAAAGAGGAGGAGAAACACGTGAGGAAAGAGGAGGAGAAACACGTGAGAAAAGAGGAGGAGAAACACGTGAGAAAAGAGGAGGAGAAACACGTGAGGAAAAGAGGAGGAGGAGAAACAGGTGAGAAAAGAGGAGGAGAGAAACACGTGAGAAAGAGGAGGAGAAAACACGTGAGAAAAAGAGGAGGAGAAACACGTGAGAAAAGAGGAGAGGAGAAACACGTGAGAAAAGAGGAGGAGAAACACGTGAGAAAAGAGGAGGAGAAAACAGGTGAGAAAAGAGGAGGAGAAACACGTGAGGAAAGAGGAGGAGAGAAAACAGTGAGAAAGAGGAGGAGAAACACGTGAGAAAGAGAGGAGAAAACACGTGAGAAAAGAGGAGAGAGTGAGAAAAGAGGAGGAGAAACACGTGAGAAAAGAGGAGGAGAACACGTGAGAAAAGAGGAGGAGAAACACGGTGAGAAAAGAGGAGGAGAAAACACGTGAGAAAGAGGAGGAGAAAACACGTGAGAAAAGAGGAGGAGAAACACGTGAGAAAAGAGGAGGAGAAACACGTGAGAAAAGAGGAGGAGAAACACGTGAGGAAAGAGGAGGAGGAGAAACACGTGAGAAAAGAGGAGGAGAGAAACACGTGAGGAAAAGAGGAGGAGAAACACGTGAGAAAAGAGGAGGAGAAACACGTGAGGAAAAGAGGAGGAGAAACACGTGAGAAAAGAGGAGGAGAAACACGTGAGAAAAGAGGAGGAGAAACACGTGAGAAAAGAGGAGGAGAAAGAAACATGTGAGAAAAGAGGAGGAAGAAACACGTGAGAAAAGAGAGGAGGAGGAGAGAAACACGTGAGAAAAGAGGAGGAGAAACACGTGTGAGAAAAGAGGAGGAGAAACACGTGAGAAAAGAGGAGGAGGAGGAGAACACGTGAGAAAGAGGAGGAGGAGAAACACGTGAGAAAAGAGGAGGAGAAAACATGTGAGAAAAGAGGAGGAGAAACACGTGAGAAAAGAGGAGGAGGAGAAACACGAGTGAGAAAAGAGAGGAGAAACATGTGAGAAAAAGAGGAGGAGAAACACGTGAGGAAAGAGGAGGAGAAACACGTGAGGAAAGAGAGGAGGAGAAACAGTGAGGAAAAGAGGGAGGAGAAACACGTGAGAAAAGAGGAGGAGGAGAAACACGTGAGAAAGAGGAGGAGAAAACAGTGAGAAAAGAGGAGGAGGAGAAACACGTGAGGAAAAGAGGAGGAGAGAAACACGTGAGGAAAAGGAGAAACACGTGAGGAAAGAGGAGGAGAAACACGTGAGAAAAGAGGAGGAGAAACACGTGAGAAAAGAGGAGGAGAAAACACGTGAGAAAAGAGGAGGAGAAACACGTGAGAAAAGAGGAGGAGGAGAGGAGAGAGACACGTGAGAAAGAGGAGGAGAAACAGTGAGAAAGAGAGGAGGAGGAGAACACGTGAGAAAAAGAGGAGGAGAAACACGTGAGAAAAGAGGAGGAGAAACACGTGAGAAAGAGGAGGAGGAGAAACACGTGAGAAAAGAGGAGGAGAAACACGTGAGAAAAGAGGAGGAGAAACACGTGAGAAAAGAGGAGGAGAAACAGGTGAGAAAGAGGAGGAGAAACAGGTGAGAAAAGAGGAGGAGGAGAGACACGTGAGAAAAGAGGAGGAGAAACAGGTGAGGAAAGAGGAGGAGGAGAAACACGTGAGAAAAGAGGAGGAGAAACACGTGAGAAAAGAGGAGGAGAAAACACGTGAGAAAAGAGGAGGAGAAAACAGGTGAGAAAAGAGGAGGAGAAACAACGTGAGAAAAAGAGGAGGAGAGAAACACATGAGAAAAGAGGGAGGAGAAACACGTGAGAAAAGAGGAGGAGAAACACGTGAGAAAAGAGGAGGAGAAACACGTGAGGAAAGAAGAGGAGAGAAACAGGTGAGAAAAGAGGAGGAGAAAACACGTGAGGAAAGAGGAGGAGAAACACGTGAGAAAAGAGGAGGAGGAGAAACACGTGAGAAAAGAGGAGGAGGAAAAACAGGTGAGAAAAGAGGAGGAGAAACACGTGAGAAAAGAGGAGGAGGAGAAACACGTGAGAAAAGAGGAGGAGAAACACGTGAGAAAAGAGGAGGAGAAACACGTGAGAAAAGAGGAGAGAAAAACAGTGAAAAGAGGAGGAGAAACAGGTGAGAAAGAG